TCATTCAAATGCAAATAAGATGATACAGAATGATAACAAGCTAAAAGAAAAAAAAAAAGAAAAAGTTTTGCTTTTAAGCAAAACAGTTGAATACTTAGCTGAACACCTTTTATGGTTAGTTAAGAGGAGCTACCTTACTAGAATGTCATAAGGTACCATTATAATGCTGAATCAAGAAGCCTTGACATGAGTGCACCCTGGAACCTCCACTACAGAAGCTAAAATTATGGAACAAATATCACCATAACAGTACCAAGAGAACAATAACCCAAGCAAAAAACAAGTGGACCAAATTGCCACAGAAGTTCTCTAAAGCACTAACAAGCTCTTCAAGCTTGAAAAACTGTCATAAATTTTGTGTAAAATTTTCATCAGAGATTTGCTATTTTTTTCTCAAAGAGTGATAATAAAATGAAAGCAGTAAATTGTCATAATAGTGCTGCAGGATTGTTCCACAGAAAAAAAAAAAACCTTCCTACATCTTCAGAACTGATCTTAAACCAATGGACTGACATTCCTAAGTCCAGTAGTGAATATTTCATCACCTGGTGAATTCCACTAAAGCCACAAATACTACATCAGCTTTGGTTTTAGTATGCCTACAAATGTTGTTCCTGAAACTTTTTGTTATACAATGAATACTGACAAATTTTTCCATTTAAAAATAATGCTTATTTTTCCAACCAAAAATATTAACTTATTCCCCAACATTCTAGCTTATTAAAGACTTTCATTTCTAGCCTCTTTCTCAGCTTCCTACACTTCTCTTTGATAATTGAAGGAAAAACAAGGATAAAGTGTCCTTGAAAAATAAAATTTGGGAAGGAAGAATAGGGGGTCCCTCCAAAATATGAAGAAAAAGCTGAAAAGCTGAGAATAAGAGTTTCATCACAAGAGTCTGGTTAAACAAACATATCTTGCAAGTGTATGGCAGGAGATGCTTGCTTAGGACATCTTGTTTGCTAGGTACAGCAAGAGTGATAGACTTTACAGGATACAAAGATGGTTCTATTTGGGCAAAACAGCAATCTCTGAACCCAAATTACAAAGTATGTATAAACAAAGGAAGTGAAGAGGGGTGCCTGTTAGCAGAGATGGCTGATAGGTGAATCAAGAATCAAGCCATAAACCGTAGTAAAATATCTAAACATTTCTTGAATGTAATCAAGGACAGTGATTTCATCACTTCCCTGGAGAGCTTATTTCAGTGCCTAACTACACTTTTTTAATAAATTTTTTCCAATATCCAACCTGAACCTTCCTTGGCACAACTTGAGACTATTCCCCCTTGTCCTCTTGCTATTTGTTCTCAAAAAGAGGTCAACACCCACAACACAACATCCTTTCAAGTACTTCTAGAGAAATAATGTCTGTCTCCCCTGAGCCTTCTCTTCTCCAGACTAAATAATCCCACTGTATCCAGTAAGGGATGGAGATTCTCTTTAGCCTTCCTCTTACAGTTTATCTATTTGTAAAAATTGTTTTTCTTGTCTTTTACTACAGTGGCCAAGTTGAGTTCAGCTAGGCTGAATTCCCCTCCTCAGCCCCCCCAACTTGCCTGTCTCTTGTTACACAGGATGTAGACTATTTTTCTCCCTGAGCCTCTGAAAAAGCTCTCTGTTCATCCACACATCTTCTTCCTCTCTGTCTCATCTTATGGCACAGGGGGATAGCCTGTTCCTGTGCCTTTAAGACTTTCTTTTGGAGGAACACATGGTAGTGCTAACAACTGTGTGCCTTGTCTCTTCATCCTGGAAAGGCTGTCTATAACAGATCCCCAACAGGATGTCAGCCTCCTTGGCTTTCTCTCTGATCCTTACCCACAGAGACTAAACACTACAATTGCCAGCCCTGAACTCAACAACACTGAAACACTCTTTAATAAATGGAGCCAAATCACTGCCTCTCCTTCCTTGCTTATCCCTCCTTACGAGCCTGTAGCCATTGCAGCATTCCATTGCATGCAGATATTTGACAGAATGGAGGTGAAGAGGTAACTGTTCTGCCAGTGAGATCTAGTCATCTCAAATTTTTTTTTATAGAACTCAGGACAGTATTTAACTGTGATATCTTGAAATTGAAGCTGGCTCCTGTTGCTAATGAGAGCATGGCAAATGAACTACACATATACATGAATAACATCTGTATATACGTAGATATGTATTATGTTCAGAACATATAACCACTCTTAGGATGAAAGACCTATTGCACATGTACTCTGTGCTTATGCAGATACATAAACATATATAAAACACATGGTTTTTGTTTGATTAATCTCTCCACTTGAAAATAATGTATTAATTCAAACAGACATTTACTTATTAAAGACCCATGACAATACTTCAGCTTCTGTTTTCAGAACATGCAAAATTTGCTTGGGTCCCAGATATCCCTGAACACCTAATTAAGTTAATATTTCCTTTTGCCTCAGCATGGTAATCTTTCTATAAGAATTGAAAAAGTATTCAATCTCTAAGGTACTGGTCTTATGAAAGAATGAAAATAATAGGCATTTATTACTATCTGGATTTTAAAATTGTCTTCATCAACCAGCAAAACTGTGGAGTTTATATAGTGAACAATAGTAATTAAAACCCTGAATTTTCCATTCTGGTGGAAATTTTAGAAATTTTAAAAATATTTTAGTTTGAAAGAAGAAAAACCTTTCAAGTGACAGAATTTCATAGGGAAAAAAAGCTATATGTAGTCTCTCTTAGCTTTTCTGAAAACTAAACAAAGCCTGACCCAGCTGGGACCCTGTAGTCTGCCTCTAGCTGAGGTAAAAGCCTAGCAAAGTATTGAAGAAGAAACATAAGAATGTTCGTGTTTTTAAGAGCGTTGTTTCATGATATTAGAACTGAGGTTTCTTTGTACTAAATCATACCACAGGGACACCAAGTTTAATATTCATCTTCTAGCAGCTGGCATCTGCTGCTTTAGAGAAAGAGGAACAAATATAATTCTCCTAATTATCTGAATCATTATTCTTCTTACTTCATATACTAGGTCTGCCTCTTGGGTCTTTTTTATACTGATCTCATTTTCCACCAGTTGTTTGAAAATCATCACCAAAGTCTTTTCCTTTTCATCAGGTTTTGTATCTCCTCTTTCTCTGGGAACCATACATAACCAGAACATGTTTAGTACCCTTTTGGCTGCTCCTATGCCAGATTTATATGTATTCCTCTACAAAAATATCCCTTTGGATCTCTACTAGTAATACTTAGTCTTTAAAACTGCTTCTCTAACCTTTTCCTCACAAATCTCAGGACCTTTTTTCCCTTTGTTTCTTCATTTGCTTATAAGTTGCAAACAAGCATCAACCCTCTGCTGCATGCTGCACTGGAAAGTATTACTAAATCTAGAATATCCTTGTTAAAAAAAAAAAAAAAAAAAAAAGCATCTACATTAGTGTGCACAGAGATAGTTTAAATAAGTTTTCCATTAATTTAGGTGCTTGCATGTGTCAATTGTTTTCCTTTATTACCACCAACCCTGCTATAGCACTTCTTGCCTAATCACTCACTCGGACTGCACACGTTCCTGTAAGCTTTCTGCAGTGTCAGGCAATGTCTGGTACACATTAAAAGGTCATAAAATAATTCAAGGTAACCTGCAAAAATATGTTTATATTCTCACACTGCACAGATCATGAAAATGTTCCAACAGAAACAGATTTGGAGTGGAAGCTTTTGGAACAAGGACTATCTGAATCTGATTTTGTGCAGTGTTGGCATGTGTATGGTCTGGCAGGAGATAGTTTTGCTCCTGTCAATCCCAAAGTGCTGCTATATTCAACATGACTGACAGTGATTAAAACAAATAAATAAATAAATGTGTTGTTTTTCCTTTACGTTCATCAAACTGTTACCGAGAAGCTAGAAACTAGATTATTATCTTTATCCACACCCTTAATCCTCTGTCATGCACTCTGCAAACTGATATGAGATAGGAATAATTTCAAGATGAAAAATGAAACATTATCTGTACCTGTAAAAATTCTAATGTTTCAGCTCCAGAAAATGTTATTTGTCAAGTAAATCAATCACACTCTTAAAAGCCATTTATATGACCTTTTAAATATTTTTGAAAATAATTTAAAATCCTCTATCTCATCTTAAGAGATAACAAGTAAGCAACTTGTTCTACACGTGTAAAAGAAACACATATCATGGAGAATTAAATTACATACTCTTTTCAATCCCTTTTTTACATCAACATATTGTCAAGAAATAATAAAGGATTGTTTTAATTAGTCTTCTGCCTCTAGCACTGGAAGATCTTTGCACTTGGTTTTCTTAATAGCATATACACAAGGATTTGTACACCGTGTCTTCTGATGCATCCTTACCACTATGGTCTCGAACAAGGACATACTCAGAATAACCTCTCTGCTCCAGATAACCAGATAATCATATTAGGCTAGTCATCCAGCAGAAAAAAAAAAAAAAAGAAAAAAAAAAGAAAAAAAAAAAGGCAATAACAATAACTTTCAGAATGCTGAAAAACAAAAATAATGTTTTCTTTTAAATAAACAAGTACACAGGATCTGAAACATATTGTAAACAAAATCAGGGGTTTTAGTAGAGAAAATAATTGACATTAATAATATTATGAATTTTGAACAGTACCACTAAGATTATAATGGAGAAATGAAATATTTTAAGAACCCTACACAGATAGCTGGAAAGTAGAAAGGAATGCAACCAAACAAGCAGAGCAAGAACACTGATTTAAAAATTGGAAACTAAGCAATAAATAATAATAAGAGTATATGTTTGATCTTATTTTGAATTGGCAGGTGTTCAAAGGTTTTTACAGATTAGCTATTTTTCCCTGCAACATGTACAAAATATTAGATATGCAGACTGCTCTGAAATCAGTGCCTCCTATTTATTTCCATGGAAACTACAACAAACATCACAGTAAGACTATGTGATAGAGCAAATTCTCAGCTACAAAACACTACTTTTCAACATACTTACAACCATTAGCTATACCTTTTGTAAGCAATGATCAAGAGCCTGCATGCCATGCTCATAAAAATCTGCACCAGCATAAGTGACCCACTATCACTGTTGCCACTTCTGAAATACACCCCGTTGCTTCACTGTTCTCACTTTCACACTGACAAACGTCAATGGGTGCCTCTTTCTGCATGGAGGAATTCAGTGGTGTACTTTTGCTTCATACTCACTTTCATATCAGACACCATTTGGTCAGTCTGCCAACTTTACTGCCATTAGTCAGTCACATGGCAGCAAAACTTAACAGAACATCCGTGGGAAGTTTCAGCCCCTGGTGCCATACCACCATCACCTGCCTCTGACATTGTGGCCCAACAAAACAAAATAGAAGACATTACTTTTGGAGCATCTCTCAAACAAAGCCTGTATTATTAACACACCATGAAAAGAATACGTCTGTTTGAATACCAAATTAGCATAATCTGCAATAATTTTGAGTTACACTGTGAATATTGCTAATGATGAAAAAATAAAGTGCTAAACATGGCTACTCACATGGATTCTTATAACAGTCATAGCAGTGGTAGCAATAGAAGCAGTAGGCTAGATTTTCCCCAGACTTTCACTGAGCCTGAATTTGGCTAAATGATATGTTATCTGTCCGATAGTCTAGTTTAGTAACATATTTGAAATTCCTCAGCAGAATGTTAAAAACATACCTGTTCAGCAAGTCTCTTGGAGAAACAGAAGGGGAGTTTCGCATTTCTTCCAGTACAGTGTGTCAGAGGAATACAGGACCTTCATTCTGGTTACTATCAAGTGGTCTATTTTCCAGGCAGGCAGGACTGGGTTACCTCACCATCTTCTCTCCCCATTGATATGCAGTCAGCACAGTGTGTATCTGCATGACATTCTGCAGTAATCATGCAGCCTGTTCCCAGCTGTGTCTGGCTTCTGTATTCCACAAATTATTTTAATCTGCTAAAAATTAGTTCCCACTCTCTACTGAATTTACTTTACCTAGTTCTTAAAATGTTAGAAAAACCTTCTTCCCTTTCAGTCAGCTAGATTTCCTCTTTAGACTGGGAGAATTTATAACAGATCAGGAGCAAAATGTTTGCTTAAAATTTTTTATGTGTGCTCTGATCACTTTCTGTACAATTTTTCTCAAGTTAATCTGTTTCACACTTAAATATCTGTCCTCTGTTGGATAACATCTTAAACCAGCTTTTAACTGGAGTCAGTATGTAACTCTTGAGAAAGATAAGTACTAGAATAATCAGAAAATACCTAAACAAATCATATATTTAACTCTCATTAATTTCATTTTTAGTCAGTTTTGAAACCTTGTGGAAATCCTATTGTGTCCACCAGCATCTGTAAATTTGCAAATAAAAATGTTTGCAATTTTACTTTATCTGAAAGTCTATGCAGTGTTTCAAAAAGAGATGAAGAACTTCTTTGCTCATCACATTTTATATGAACAATGACAAGCAACAGCATTATTTTCTGTTAAGACCTCAAGATTTGGTTTTGATGGTATTACATCTGCCTCCAGTCATAACACATACTTGTTCCGAAACTTCTGTGAGTAAGGGAGACTCCACTAAAGTAAAAATAACCACAAATATTTTTATACTATCTGAGGAGGTCTGGGTCATGTGAGATATATTCCCTTTTGTTCATTTCAGTCTTCATCTTACTGATCTCAGTGACTTTCAGCACCACTTAAAAATTACTGCTATAATTCATGGACCCATCTTTATTCTGCTCTGGATAACAGAGAGTAAGATACAACATGTAACAGCTTTGACAAAGACTTGTCTTGCAATTAAGATCACAGAAAGTGGGTCTTCTTGCTGGTCATACTATTTCAAATCTTACATTTATTTAAATTATTAAAATATTTTCATAAATAATGTAGAGAGACCACAAATTCTACTGTATAACTGTGCTGAAAACATCGGGTGAAACATGCAGAATTGATTTCCAAAGTATGGCAAAGATTTTGCTCATGAGTGAATTTGCTCTTAAGAGAATGAAAAGGGAAAGGAAAAGATGGTTCATTAAGTTGTCCTGCAACTAAAAGCAGAAACATCTGCTAAAATCATTCTAGACATAGCATGGGGAATGAAGTACTGTATGTGCACTCCATTTTGTCTTAAGTTTCAGACATGTAAGAGGAAAACTCTTTAAAATATTGTCCTTAATGCATAGTTTTATCTGAAATACAGGCAAGGAAGGTATTGTATGGTGTTAGCCATAACACGTGCTGCAAAATTGCTGTACTTTTAAATCTAACTTTCTGTTTGCAGTCGATTATTTGCTCTTAGTCAATAGCCTTCACATCTGCAAATTCTTCACCACCTTTTCTTAAATATGAATGTACTCTTCAGTACATAAGTCAAGTTTGTTCTGCAGTTGTGATAAAAATTTCACAATAGCACTCTCTTAATTTCAGTAATGCTCTATACATGAACATTCATCATATTCTGTGGAATAATTTAAGGATTACTCCAATTTGCACTTGTATCAGTGACCCCCTGCAATGAAATGCAGCTGTGGCTCTGCCTACAAAGCAAATGTTGTGATTATCTGTTTTTCCTCAGTCAACATTCTTTACCTCTACTGACTAAGCTCACAAAATACAGAAGAGTTAAAGTCTCACCATCAATTTTACTTCAAGAGAAACACCTTTTTTTCATGATGTTGTTTACTTAGGCAATTAAATCAATGTGATAGCAAGACTGATAGCAGTGTTCTCCCAACACTCCATGCTATTGCAGGAGTGTTAACTGATATGGTTTTTTTTTGTTTTGTTTTGTTTTTAGTTAGGCTTTGCAATAATTATTTAGCAAGGCAGTTCTTTAGGAAACAGAAAAACAAAGTTTTTATCCTAAAAATTGTGGAAAGTGTCTCGTACAAAATAAAATTAACCAAGGGGAAATATCTAACATAATGAGAGAGCTTTTAAAAAGATACATGTAAACATAAGAGAATATGACAAATGTATTCTGAGAGAGAGTTAGAAGTGAAAAAAAAAAATTTTATTAGAGATGCAGACTGTGAAACTTTCACTTTAAGCAGTTCTCCCCGTCAAGAGAAAAACAAACATGAGTGTAAAATAGATTTAAAAATATAAATAAGTAAATACTCGAGCGAGCTTCACAGAGAAAACAGCTGGCATTACAAAAAAAAAATAAAAATAAAAATGGGTTCTCAAATTAAAAGACAGCTGGTGCTGCCACACACCATCAAGCAGTCATCCCTGTTTACAGACCTAAGAGGTGCAGATCTTCATAGCTCACTCCTGGGGCTATGTCTTCTTGTATTGGTCCCAGGAACCCACCAGGGCTGAGGGAAGGGGTGAGGCAGTTGTCTAGTGATGGAAATCTGCAGCTATGTGTGAAGCACTGTGCATACATGAACCAAAAGTATGAGATCCCAAAAGAACCCAGAAACAAACCAGCTATAGGCCCATATGGTGGCATTACATCAAATATTCACTGAGGTTCTCTTCTGTCCCAATAGCAGTCTTACGTCCCTTTGTGTATTTTGGCAGTATGAACAAACTGAAGTGACATGAACCAGCCTTACAGACAACTCCCCCTCCTGTAACTGCTAGCATGCAGTGAGAGAGCAAGGAAACATGTTTGTAGCTTGTCTTCTTGTAGAACACGTTATTGGTCTCATTTTGTGCAGCTCTGAAAATGAGAAGGGAACCTTGTCAGTTAAAGGAATATGAGCACAAATAGAAAAATCAGCTGAAAAAAAAACCCATAACTGTTATTCAGTGTTAATCTCTCTTCTAAATGCCAAATCTGACGTCTAAGCTCTCTTCGATTCTTTGCTCACTTGCTCTGAAGCTGCATACTTCTTTGATGCGTGGTGCTGCTCAGCTGTGTTACTTTCTGAGACACCTCCCTCAGTGTGGGTGAAAGTTTTTAGATGAGCCTCAAAGAATTCCTGGTCTTTTTTTTTCCTTTTTTTTTTTTCCTTTTTCTGTGAGCTTTGTTTCACAATAAGGTTGATTGCAAAGAAGAAAACAGCTTATTCTTGCGTCCATCCTGTGAAAACCACAAACCTTGATAAAACAAGGACACTTTTCAAGCACATAATTTAGCTCATTTTTGTGTGTGTGTGCATTAGTTATAAATAGGCTTCTGTTTCACAGCAGGTATACATGGCTTTTAGTTTTTGGGTTACATTTGTTATTATTTTATTTCTATTATTACTTTTTTTAATAGATTTAAAAAAAAATACTTCAGTTCCTTTTGTTTTCCTGACCTTCCTTGCAGGATTTTGAGAATTATAGATTCCTGTTCCATTGTTATATTTTTTTGTAGATGTCCCTTTCAGTTCTCTAGATCAGCATAAACTAGACCTTTGAAAGTTGTTGTTTTGTAGCTGTCTTACTTCTCCAGTTTGGGAATCATAAAATTTTTTACACACAAAACCAACTTTCTGCAAAGTAGAAGGTAAGACAGTGTAATAGCTCAGGAACATCAAAAAGGATTTGGAAAAGATTCCATACCATTAGTATAAAAACACAGTTGGGCTTGATGATCTTGAATGGCTATTCCAACTTAGATGATTCTGTGATTATAATACCCATCAAAAGATATTTTAGTTGTAATTTGATTTTTCACCTTTTCTCTCCTGAGAAATCAATAGAGTGTGTCAGTCTTCTTTTTGAAATGTAAAATGAAGAATGGAAAGGGTAGAGATGTTTACAGAATTTCAAGCTAGTTTTAAAGGGAAAAAAAAAAAAAAAAGCACAGATTTTACTTTTGACAAATGTAATTGGAAGTTTAAATCACAAACCACTGTACTGTAATGTCCACTGTCCTTATCCTTCATATTCATTTTCTACCTGATGTGACAGGATGTATTTTTCCCTAAGTTTTATTCAGAAGATCTGTGCTGGGTTCCTATGGTTACTGATTTTATCCTGGGTCTGTACTTGAAGCTGAGCAGGATTCATCTTATTTTGGGGATTGGTCTGGCAATAGAGAAGTACTACTTCTGAGTGTCAAGAATGTTAGCTTACCTGAAGCTTATGGTCAAAACCTTTGTTCTC